TCAAGTATTTAACGTTTGTGTAAGGTAAGGATCTTGGAGTTTACCCTCTCTATTAGAGCTTTTGGGCATTGCCCTTTTGTGATAACCGATGAAACTCATGACTTTATTTTTTTGGTGTTTAGGGAGCCACAATTGTAAGGAGAGGGTAAGAATCGATTACAGGGAGGGAAGCTCTACCCAATTGAGCTATTCCTCAGTTTCTAAAATCATGAATTCATGAGATTAACTATTTCTTCCATGTCATACTCCATCCCTTAACACCTTATGACTACATGAAATTATTCTTTTTAGTGTTTAGAGAGCCACAATTGCAAGGATGAGGTGAGAATCGATCACAGGATCCCCTGAAACCGGGAGAAAAGCTCTACCCAATTGAGCTATCCCTCACTCTCTAAAACTCGTGGCTTCATGAGATTAACTATTTCTTCCATGTCATACTCCATCCCTTAACACCTTACGTCCAAATCCTAACTTTGACGGTCTATCCCAAAAAAAAAAAAAAAAAAAACCTTGTATTAAAATGTATATTACTCTGTATATTGAGCCTAATCTAACAATATTTTGTAGTTATTTTTATTTTTTTTTATGTATAAATTAATTAAAATATTTAGTTAAATATGTAAGGCCATACTGTTCACTTCACCTTAAAAAAAAATAATATTAATTAAAAATAATTTCAGTTCAATAAAAATAATTTCAGTTCAGCAAAAATAATTTTAGTTCAATAAAAAAAAGTTCAGTTTAGTAAAAATAATTTCAGTTTAGTAAAAATCAGTAACACCAAAGAGGAAATATATAGAATCAGTAAAAATAATTTTATTTCAGTAAAAATAATTTAAGTTCAGCAAAATAATTTCAGTTCAGTAAAAATAATTTCAGTTCAGCAAAAATAAAGTGTAGTGAACGGGGTCTAATAATAGTCAAAACAAGCAAGGTATTATGGGATAGAGGAAGTCCTAATAATTAGCAATTTTAGCATACCCCATCAATTAACCTCAATTTTATTTTATTTATTATTATTATTTTTTTGAAAAAAAAGTTATACATTTGGGTAATATCGTGTCCCTATCCCCACATCGTTAGAACTTGGAAGGCATGAGTACTATCTTTGACCTCCAAATAACATTTACGGAGTATCATTTACATTAGGCTAAAAAAATACAAGTTGCATTTATTGTATGAACTTATACATCTGTAAGTTTGATTTTAATATTTTGTTTAAAGAACAAAGTATAAAAGTGTTGATTTGAGATGGTCAAATTAAGATAAGAATATTTGAATTTGTGGTAATAATAGGTAAAACTTGCGATACTTAGATTAATCTGCACAAAAACGTGCATTAAGGTAATTAATTGAAAAAAAATTCTGTTGAATTCCAATGTGAAAGGGAACCCTGCGTCCACACTTGACAGCGTCACATAATAAGAAGCTAAGATGGAGGCTACTGTAACAATGTGAACTGTAATTAATTTATGGCATTTGGCTAGTTTTTATTATGAAGTAACCTTAGTCAAAACTTATGTTTTAGGGTCTGTTCACATTTACTAAACTGAGCTGAATTGAATTTAACTGAACTGATGAACATTTTATGAGAGAAGGAAATTAGAAGCTGAACTAAACTGATTAGAGTTGAACTAGACTGAACTGATTGGAGCTGAACTGAACTGAATTGAGCTGAAAATAAGCTGAAGTAAACAGGCCCTTAGCCGTTATATGGATTTCGTGAAAATTACATGATTTAAACAATAAAAAGATGGGAATTCTCATTGATACCATTCTACTCTTGACTTCTAAGTGACTCAAACACTCTTGCAGTCTTGCTATTTTATTGAGTAGAGGTCACTATGAAGATTGAGATGCAACTCTATCTCACAAGTCTATTGAGTTATTTTGGCTTTTATACAAATTTTAATTTAAAAAAAAAATTAATTACACTCAATGTTTAAAATATTGTTAGTTGCCTTAAACTTTTTCTCATTTTTCTCAGCGTGTACATTTTCTTAAAACTTAGCCAATAATCTTCTTCAACCTATCAAGACTCGAGATTGATTTAGCGATACCAGTATACCACATCGATCAAGTTTAAAATTTGTTCACACATCAGTAGTTCTCCCTCCGATATTTTGGGACAAGCATACGTTTTGACTTAAGCAAAAAAAAACACCAAATACAGTTGTATATCCGTGTTACAATCAGCAATGACATTGTTGTTGTATACTTTGAAGAAGTTTATTATATCTGATGTAATCTTCCTTGACTTGGTTCAATATAATTCTCACCAAAAAAACAAAGAAGTTTTCCAATCATATATCATATACACTATATTTTTTTTTTAAAATAGTCAGACTTAGTCAATAATTCCGTACTATTAAACCATGGTCTTCATATATATATACAAGTACTACATAATATGTAGTATATCATATAGTGTTTGTGTCTCATACTTCAACTTATATTCCTAGTTTTTTTTTTTTTCATTACATTTAGTGAGTAATCAAAGTACTAAAATTACTTAGTCGCCGGATATTTGAAAGTTAATTAAATTAAGCTAAGTGTACAACAATGGGAAGATCACCATGTTGTGACAAAGCTAAGGTTAAAAAAGGACCATGGTCTGCTGAAGAAGATACAATGCTTGTAAACTTTGTCGCGAAATATGGCAATGGAGGCAACTGGATTTCACTCCCTAAAAAAATCGGTAAGTAATTTAAATACTACCTGTCTACCTCTGTTACATATTAGTTGTAACTTTAAATTTTTTTATAAGTATAGATATTTAATATCTTAGATTTCATGAGGCCTCGAGTTTTAAGCTAGCCTAATGTTTTCGAAACAGGGTTAAATCGATGTGGGAAGAGTTGTCGTTTAAGATGGTTAAATTATCTTAGACCGGATATTAGGCATGATAATTTCACCGAAGAAGAAGATTACATAATACTATCACTTTATCACAACATAGGTAGCAGGTATATATATATGCACAAGTATTTATTTTTATATAATGCTATCATTCATAAGTTTATTTTGAATATTGTTTTGTTGAAATAATATTTCATGGACTAACCATATTGTATGTTTATATGTATATGTTTATATAGGTGGTCAGTAATTGCGTCGAATTTACAAGGAAGAACAGACAACAATGTGAAGAATTATTGGAACACCAAGCTTAAGAAAAAAATATCATCACAAAAATTCAAGAATAATAATATTTCTATGATTTCATCTTACAAAAATACAGATTTTAGTACACTCAATCATCAAACTCTAGGTAATGAAAGTATAATGAGTTCAAGATTAGGTCAAGGTGGCATTTTCGACGTTGGAGAAGGTAAAGAAAATGTTACTCTAAGCTACGACACTAGTAGTGGTTCAAGGACTCCAGAGATTTCAAGCTATTCAGGGTCATCATCAAGTTATGTGGAATTTGATCAAAAAAGCTCGGGATCGATTTCGATTAATGGTGAAGAAGATGAGTTTTGGATGGATTTGTTGTCTGAATCTTTTGATGATGTTGTAGTTGGTTCTAAACTTGAGGAGAAAATCAGTGAGATAGCTTCACTCTTAGATGATTCATTTTGCAATAATGGGTTTTTAATGTAATTTTTATTTTGAATGTACTTTTTAATTAAGGTAGAATTATTCATTACATTATATTGAATTATTTGTAGGCTAGCAAATTCTTATTGGAATGTATAAAAAAAATATTGAAGGTTATAGTTGACAGTGTCGTAATTTACTCATATTATAATATTTTATTGGTTCATGTATGAAATTTCAAATAGTAGCAAAATAGACAAATCATGCATGATGCATGGATATAATATCTTGGTCCACCAAGAAATAAAATCAAAACAATGACCTTGTCAATATTAGGTACCTTAAAAACAGTGGAGTGGATGAGGAAAGTATGTACTACGGAGTATAGAAGAGTAAAGATAGTATTGGATTGGGCGCTTGAGGCATAACATGAAAAAAGCACAACTTGAATGATTGGTATAGCTAGCTAGGCATGACACGTACGACATATCATGTTATTGTGTGTGTCGGTCTTTGGACTTTTATATAGGAGAAACATGACAAGGTATAACACGATATGACCCAATATGACATGATAAGTGTTCTAAAATCAACGAAACTTGGCTAGGCTCGCAAAAATGGCTCGACTAGCACAACACAACGAGTTAGTGACATACTGATCGACATGTGGGCTTGGACCAACTTGTTGAAAATTAAATCATGGTATGAATTGTCAAGTAGCTTGTGTGTTGGGCCAAGTCAACCCCAAAGCACATGAACTTGACACAAGGCACGACCCTCAACCATCGATCTTTAGAGGAGAGGGGAAAGGGCAAGGGGGAGTGAGCTAAGATTTTCATTTCGGATCTTTTAATATTGTAAAGTTTTGGTTTATTAGAAAGGTAATGAAATTAGATCTTTAGAATATTTATTATTTAACTCTTGTCATATTTAGAAAATACACAACATTTTTTTTTTTGGTTTAGAGAGCTACAAAAGGCATGGGTGAGAATCGGTTTTAGGATCATCTGAAAGCGAGAGGGAAGCTCTAACCACTTGAGTTATTCCACACTCTTAGAAATTACACGATGTTCTTGGAAACAGAATACTCCTCGGGGTTAGGGTAATAATATCAAGATGTCCTAGAGGTTAAGTCCAGTGAATATCCGAGTGTCCTTCGGCTTCGCCTTGCTGTCCGAGAACTCGGCCTGCAAAAGAGAGAAGGTTAACTGCCCCGGGGGTGTGACCCGGAAAAGCCCCTCCGATGCTTAAGTCAACAAATGTACTTTCTAGAGAGAGAAAGTAGAGAGAGAAGGAGAGAAAATTAGGAAAAAGTTACCTTCATTAATGATTGAAGAGCTATTTATAGATGTACTTTCAAGTGACAGAAATTGTACTTAGTTGGACAGATTAGGGGTAAATCCGTACTTTGCTCTGACTAATGATGGACTGGATCATGGAGGGGTATTTTCGTAATTCCAAATCAATGGGCTTAGGACAATGGACTTGGCCCAAACACATAACAATAAGGTTTTGCTATTCAAAAGTTTAAGGTTAATTCCCTTCAAAAAAGAAAGTAAAAATAAAAACTAATTCACTCCATATGTCTTAAATCGATTTGTCGCTTAAAACGACCCACCTTATCGAACAAAATTAATACTCCGTACTTCATACTTTGTATAATTGATATGTGAAAATTAGTCATTGACTATCAAATACTAAAAAAAAAAACCATCCAGGGTGTTAACCACGTTCCATAACAAATAAACTACAAATTACCAATTTCACATACTATTATTATTTATATAAATCAAAGTATATTGTATATTCCTTTTTCTAAATATTCCCCAAAATCAACAAACACTCACTCCCAAATTCTTCCCTCTTTCTTTCTGTAAAAAAGAGGAGAGAGAAAACAATAATGGATGCTCATCTTCCAAAAGAGACTAAGGAGTTGGCCAAGAAACACAGGTTCAAGTCCCTTAAACGGGTCGATTTTGACCCGGATCAACGACTTGATACGACCCCTTTTGGAGCTGAATATGGGTCCTTGGAAAATGGGTTGACTTACTATGTTCGCTGCAATCCCAAACCCCAAATGAGAGCTGCTCTTGCTCTTGCTGTTAAAGTCGGGTATGTCTGTTTTCTTACCCATTTTTCTAATTTTACTTCTAAATAACTGGAGTATATATTATTAATTTCATTACCCATTTATTTTCTTGATCACAGTAATTTTCTTGAAAAAAGATAAATATTATTGGTTTCAGTCTTGTAAATGGCTTAGTGGGGTCCATTATATATTTTTTTTTATTAAATTTGAAATCATAGTATTATATGATAAGGAGTATTAATTTAGAAATGCACGACAATAATATCCATTGGTATTGTATTTTCTTTGTTAGAAGTAATGCCGACTATATGCGTATCACTCTTATAAACTTTGAGACGTTGTTGTTATCTTGTAAATTATTGATTGGTTGTACCATGTGTGATTTGTCGGTACGACTATGAAATATGTCCTTGACTAAAGTATGGAGTAACATGGTAAATTCTGGGGAAAAACCACTAATGCCCTTATTGAATGATTAAAGTTGGCATAGTCTTAGAGAATGGTACTTATGATCTTGGATCAAATCCCGTCTACATGTTTATATTGTGGGTACGGTGTACGTGTATCCGTGTATGTGTACGTCATCACTTTGATGCTGTTCATGTTTACTTAGGATTAAATCTTGTTTATGTTATTGTTAAGAAAAGCAGAATTGAATTTTTTCCAATGTACTAAAACTGAGTTTGTGATTGAATGAATACAAAATGATGTTATGATCTACTTTATACAAGATTTCATTACATCGAGAATGTAAGAAAATTTCTGTCATATTCTTTTGGAATCTCCATTTGAAGCCTAACTAATTCCCTTAAATCAAGGAATCTGTTATATCTGTTAAAACTGATCATAGTTTGTTAGAGGAGTATGGTAATACTCATTAGTAATGTTACTCATTGATGCTAATCAAATAACATAAATGGGGATGAATGAAAAGAATTTTCGTGCGAAATATTACTGGGTGGTAGGCGTGATCAATGATCTTTTACATTATTTCGTGCTTACGTTTTTTTTTTCTCTCGTTGTTATTAAGCTCCATTATGTATACTGCATGTGTTAGTTGTCACCTATTACACATTAGAGAAGAAAAGTGATAATAAATACTTTAGAAGTTCGAGAAGCTACTTCTCCCATTACCACTTGGTTTTGGGACGGAGCCTCACTTGAGCTTGTAAGTGGTCCAACTCTCCTTTGAGCTTTGTCATGGGTAACGCTTATCCTTCTTTGATAAGCTCTTAGAACATTAGTCATTTACAAAATTTGTTTGATATTGGCAGCTCTATTTTTGAAGAGGAGAATGAACGAGGAATTGCTCATATAGTTGAACATCTTGCTTTCAGCGCTACTAAAAAATACACAAATCATGATATTGTAAAATTCTTGGAAAGTATAGGGGCTGAGTTTGGTGCATGTGGAAATGCTTACACAAGTTTTGATGAGACTGTTTATGAGCTGTTTGTTCCTATTGACAAGCCTGGGATATTGTCTGAGGCGATTTCCATTTTATCAGAGTTTAGTTCTGAGGTTTCTATCAATTTTTTCCATCCTGTCTTCTACTCTATTAGTCTGTGATATCAATGTCAAATGTCAATAATTTTCTGTGTTTCCTTCATTTACTTGCAGATTCGGATTTCAGAAGAGGACTTGGACAAAGAAAGAGGAGCTGTCCTTGAAGAATATAGACAAGGCAGGGATGCTAGTGGTCGCCTGTCAGAAGAAACCTTTGCTTCAATAATGAAGGGTTCCAAGGTAAGCTCGGAAACTACAGAACAATGAGTATACTGTCTTTCCTTTCACTTGGATTAATAAAGAAAGTTCTGATAAAATAAGCCACTTTAAGGGTTCTTTTCTAGTAGTTTACCAGTGATTTATATCATGTAAATAAACTGCAATGAGAAGCTTCTTGAAGAGCACTGTCAATTGGTATCTAAAAGTATTGCGAAATGTGAAAATAAGAAATTGTTTGGGCAAACTGAAATTGAGGAAAAGAAAGTAGAATGTGGCTTTCTGTTTGAAAAAAAGTGGAAGTTATAATAGTGAATGAAGTACTCTAAGTTATATGATCTGAGAGTAGATGCATCCTGTAAATATTAAGTGTATCACGAATCAAACTAGCATCTATCTTGTACTATCAATCCCTTGCAAAAATCATCCAACGTATATGTGTAGTCTGCTGAAGTTAATAGCCAAAAAATTCTTTGTGGTGGTGGTTGTGGCTGGGAGGGGAGGGTGATTGCAGGGGGAGTTTGAGGATTCCCAATCATTGTATTGCTAGCTCCTGTGTACTTTCTTGATCATTTTTTATTTATGGTGTTGATGATGTGGAGGAATTTGTCTTAGAAGGTACCTCATTTCCCATAGTTTTGCTTTCATTTTTTTTTTATCTTAATATTGGTAGATTTTAATAATAAACTGCTAGAAGCCTAGAACCCTTTGTGCATATTATTTCTTACAATGACAACAAAATATACTCAGCTTAGCCTTGCTTCTGAAAAGTGTAGAGTACTGTAGTGGCTGTACCACTTTGATAGTATTCATAGGAAGTGTTTTTGACATATGTAAGTAAGATCTTTTACAGTGTTGGAGAAATCTGTAATGTGAAACTTTTTTGTTCTGCATAAAGTCTGGTTTTTGCTGCTAAAGCTATATCATTGTTGGGTCTTGAAGGCTTACTGAACAATTATATAGTTAATGGAACCTTTTGTTTTGTTCTGTTTTTGTTTTTGTTTTTTTTTTTTTAAAATTATTGATTTAAGTTTTCTTTCTTATAATTTTGTAATAGTAGTTGATCCTATCAAATAACTTCTATGTGTATGTTGCGCTTTGCATCTTTTTCCTCAATTTCAAGAAATACTAGCAATATGAAAATGTGAGTTTGATATATTTTTGTGTTGGTACTTTGATCGGACACAGTATGCAGACCGTTTGCCAATTGGGTTGGAAAGTGTGATTCGGTCAGCTCCTGCAAAGATTGCAAAGCAATTTTATAAGAAGTGGTACAATTTACAGAGCATGGCAGTAATAGCAGTTGGCGACTTTCCTAATACAGAGGTTACATCGCTTTAATCTTATGAAAATAATTGATTAGTTTTGTTTTCTGGTCAAAATTAGCTATGAATAAATTTACTTATCTGCTTGATCTCTCTCAGAGTGTTGTTGAGTTGATAGCCCAGAAATTCGGCCATATTAATTCACCAAAGCCTCAAATAATTTCCCCACGGCCTAAGATTCCATTTCACGGTGAAACACGGTTTTCGTGCTTAGTTGAACCAGAAGCATCAGGAGTTAGTACTTTGTCTCCATAATTAAATAAATACTTAAAATGCCAATTGACTGTATCTTTTGATGTGGTCTATGTTTGTTGACAACAGACTACTGTGGAGATAAATTGGAAGATGTTAAATGATGAGCCTAAGACCGTAAGAGACTATAAAGACTGGCTCATTGGAGTAGTGTTCCGTTCAGCTTTGAACCGTAGATTCACTAAAATATCTCGGAGAAAGAATCCACCCTTTTTTGTATGCTCCGCTGCAGAAGTGGAGTTGGTTCGTCCAGTTAAAGCCGTCCAAATATCTTCATCTTGCAAAGAAAAAAGTATACTTGAAGCCTTGACATCAGTGCTAACTGAGGTATGTCTGTATGATCATGTCTGTATTGCCCTGGCTAGTTGACTGATTATCTGATTCATTTTATTTCAGCTTGCAAGGGTTAGGTCACATGATTTCTCTGAGCGTGAGATATCAATTGCCTGTGCCAATATCATGGCAGAAATGGAGTCTGCTTATTTAGAGCGTGAGAAAATGCAATCAAGCACCTGGCGGTATCAGTATCTGCAGGTAAAAGCAGTTCTTCTGTTTTTCTCCTCTATATATATATATTTCAAACTCAGCTTTTACCAATTTATATCTTTTGCTTTTCTTCTGTCTACCACCTTACCAATTCCTGTATGTTGTTCAGCATTTTCTTCGAGCTGAAGCTGTTCTTGGGCTTGAGTTTGAGGCTCAGCTTTTTAAAAGTATTCTACCTCGTAAGTCCAGATCAAATGCTTAAGTTTTCTGGTTTTTCTATCTTCTGGAGATAAAGTCTCATTACAATCTATCAAATCTGAGCAGAGTTATCAGCATCAGAGGTTTCCAGGTATTCTGAGAAGTTACAAATGTCAGAAAGTTCTGTTATAATTATAACTGAACCTCGAGCCACAGTAACAGAGAAAGATCTTAAGGATCTTGTGTCAGAGACAAATTCTCTTGAGGAGGAAGGAAAAATTTCTCCTTGGGAGGATGATATCATTCCAGAAGAAGTTGTTCAGGTGAAGCCAAATCCGGGGTGAGTTTCACACTAAAGCATGCTGCATTAGAAGCTATCATCGAATTTCCTCTATGTAATATCTTTTACTTCTGGCTAGAGAGTACAAGACACAAAAGTAGAGTTTTTATGTGAGTTAGGGCTAAGTAAGGCTGGCAATATTAGTCATCTGAATATATTATCAATGATTGAAAATGGAAGCAACAAGATCTAAAATCTGCTGTGATTAGATTTTATTGGAGAAAAGCAGTCTCGTTTTAGACATTTTGGCCTATTACTCTATCCTATGGTATCTTTTAATGGTATAAAATACGATGACTGGAGTCCATTGTATTCTATTTCTTAACCACAAGTAGCTTTATTATGATTTTGGATTTGTAGGTTTCTAGGTTCATTAAATAACAATGCTGCTTTACGCCTAGTAAGTATGAGTGGTTATTGTCCATCTGTGCTGCAGATCTTGCCCAACAAATCAAAATTCTTGCTACTATATGATACCTTTCTCAGTTGTGGTAGTTTAGGCACTTTTAATTCAACTCCAGGTCTTCTGTTTATTCAGGAAAGTTGAGAAAAAATCTGAATATCAAGATATTGGAGTTACTGAATTAGTTCTGTCAAATGGAATGAAGGTTTGCTACAAATGTACAGATTTCAAGAATGACCAGGTATAACTTAAACTACTAGTCTATAATGCTGTAAAATCCATAAACTCTTTATCTCTTGCATATCATGCATACCAACAGGTATTGCAATATTCTTATTTACATAATATGCCAGAGGAGGGTGATATAAATCCATAAATACGATCATCGTTGGAAATTGATGATTACATCTTTGAGTATCATCCTACAGCCCTTTGTTGTGCGACAGCGGAAGCAAAGGTCGTAAACAAACAAGAAAACAATAAAGAAATTCAATGCAAACAATAAGAACAACACCAAGAATTTACGTGGTTCACTATCGATGTGATAGCTACGTCCACGGGCACCGAGATCGAATGATTTCACTATAAACTGCAAAGATTACAAAGATGATTCTTGTATTTCTCAAGAACGGCTCTCACTCTCTCTCTCTTAACCCTTATACTAATATTAGGGAGGTTTTATATTAATCCCTAATTAAAAGATACTTGGGCAAAAAGATAATAAAATAAGATAACCTAAAACCGCAAAATCCGCGTTCCGTATTTTTCCTTCTCCGCCCGGTCAGACCGGGCAAGGTCTGCCCGATCGGGCGCGAGAAGAAAACTCCATACGAATGCTTCAACGTATCCAACCCCCACCGCCCGGTCAGACCGGGCAAGGTCTGCCCGATCGGGCGAAGGCTCGCCCGGTCGGGCGAAGGCTCGCCCGGTCGGGCGCGAGAGCAGCTTCTTCAACGAATTTGCCAGGCACCTCTTCTTCTTCCGCCCGGTCAGACCGGGCAATGTCCGCCCGATCGGGCGGACAAAGCTACGAAGTACGAGTCACCTAATATACTTATCAACAATCTCCACCTTGACGAGAACTCGTAGTCAGCAAACGACCCCATCAAGACATAGTGAAAAAACATCTCAAGCCAAACCCGATGCAGGACTCATGCATAAGCCATACATCCCGATAAGTCTTCAACCAAGACCCATCACATACTCGTCTCCAAGTATAACAACTCATAATGCTCCACCTGCATCACAAGCCCCGGGCAAGCTCCACCTTAATGCCAACACACCTACACCAGGAGCTCCCCAACTTCGCCCCTCAGGGCCTACTACATCACGTAGTAATCAATATTTAGCAAGTCTAAGCAATGTTTAAACTTGCTAAACGGAACAGGCTTAGTGAAGAAATCAGCCGGGTTGTCAGCAGTCCCAATCTTCTTCACCTTAATCCTCTTGTCAGTACGTAAGAAATGATACCTGACATCAATGTGCTTCGTCCGATCATGGTGTACTTGATCTTTAGCTAAGCAAATCGCACTTAGACTATCACAATACACTGTAGCAAAATCCTGTGCAATACCCAGTTCACCTACTAGGCCTTTGAGCCGAATAGACTCCTTAGCTGCAGAAGTTAGAGCCATATACTCAGCTTCAGTAGTTGACAACGTAACTGATGACTGCAATGTAGACTTCCAACTAACCACAGAACCACCCAAAGTGAACACATAACCAGTCACAGACCTCCTGGTATCCACATCAGCTGCATAATCAGAATCACTGTACCCAGTGACCAAGCATTCCTTACCATTCCCGTACACAAGACCAATATCAGCTGTCCCTCTCAGGTAGCGAAAAATCCTTTTCACCCCTTGCCAGTGTTCCCTCCCAGGTCGAGCCATAAACCTGCTTACAACACTAACAGCATGCGCAATATCCGGCCTAGTACAGACCATAGCATACATCAAACAACCAACCGCGTTTGCATATGGAACTCTAGACATATAAGACAACTCCTCCTCTGATTGAGGTGACATAGACAAAGACAACTTACAACTAACAGTAGTTGGCGTACTTATAGGCTTCGATTTTTCCATCCCAAAACGAGACAAAATCTTTTCAATGTAGCTTTTCTGAGTCAAGAAAAGCTTACCTCTAGCCCGATCCCTGTAGATCTCCATACCCAAAATCTTCCTAGCTGCACCCAAGTCTTTCATGTCAAACTCCGAGTTAAGCATCTCCTTTAATCTAGCAATATCAGATTTATTCTTTGTGGCAACCAACATGTCATCAACATATAACAAAAGATAAATCATGGAACCATTATCCAGCTTACTATGATACACACAGCAATCATATGAATTCCTGTCAAAACCTTGTGAAACCATAAAAGAATCAAACCTTTTGTACCACTGTCGGGGGGATTGCTTAAGTCCATACAATGACTTTAGCAATCTGCAGGCATAGTGTTCCTTTCCAGGAACTTCGAATCCTTCGGGCTGCTTCATCAGAATCTCCTCCTCCAAATCGCCATGAAGGAAGGCCGTTTTAACATCCAACTGCTCCAGCTCAAGATCAAAATGTGCTACAATTGACAATAACACACGGATAGAAGTATGTCGAACCACAGGTGAGAATATCTCAACAAAGTCAACCCCTTCTACCTGACTGAACCCCTTAGCAACTAGCCTAGCCTTAAAACGTATTTGCTCAGTTTCCGACAACCCTTCTTTCTTCTTGTAAATCCATTTACAACCCACAAGCTTCCTCCCTTCCGGTACCTTTACCAGTTCCCACACTCTGTTCTTGTAAAGGGACTGCATCTCTTCACCCATTGCGGCAAGCCATTGCGCAGACTCACTACAACTAATTGCTTGTTTATATGTGGCAGGTTCAAATGACTCTACATCATCAGCTACACTCAATGCATAACCTGTCATCGCATCAACACAGCAATTTCTTCCCTCCATCTCTTCAATCAATCTAACAGGCTTCTTGATAACTCGTTTAGGCATCTCAAGAATGGTGTCAGGTTGACTAGATGACCCCTGATTAGATTGCTCCACCTCATCCCCAGAGTTAGAATGAGTAGGAGTAATCTCAGGTTCAGGAGTACCCGGCACTGGAACATCAGCATCATCATCAATATATTGTACCCGAGGTAAATCAGCAATGGTAGACTGATGTACCTCAAGTACCCCATCTGTCTGTAATAAATTGTCTCCTTCCCTTCTCAAATCTGAAATCTCTGCATTTTTAATTGAATACATGGTGTTTTCATCGAAAGTAACATCCCTACTAAGAATGACCCGACCCTCCGAAGGTGAAAAAATTCTAAACCCCTTCACACCATCCCCGTACCCAACAAAACACCCCTTCTTGGCTCGTGGATCCAGCTTACCCTCAATAACATGATAATAAGCAACACAACCAAAAATCTTCAAATTCGAAAAATTAGGCAACTTACCACTCCAGATCTCAAACGGAATCTTGGAATCAATTCCAGAATGAGGACCCCTATTAATGACATAACAAGCTGTTAACACAGCTTCACTCCAGTACCTCCTCCCAAGCCCTGCATTGGAGAGCATGCATCGGACTCTCTCTAGCAGTGTCTGATTAACCCGTTCTGCTACACCGTTCTGCTGTGGTGTCTTCCTGACAGTATGATGCCGACCTATACCCTCATCTGCACAGAACTGATTAAACTCGTCTTTGCAAAACTCTAGCCCATTGTCCGTTCGTAGCTTCTTGATCTTCCTTCCTTGTCGATTTTCCACCAAAGCTTTCCATTGCTTGAAAACTTTGAAGGCCTCATCCTTTGACTTAAGCAACCTAAGCCATGTGTATCGGGACTTGTCATCAACAAATGACACAAAATAGTGGTAACCTCCCATACCTTCAACTCTAGATGGACCCCAGCAATCTGAATGGATGTAATCGAGCACTGCATCAGTAATGTGAGCACCCTTGCTGAACTTTGACCTGTGTTTCTTACCAAACACACAATGCTCACAAAATTCAAGGTTGGCAACCTTGACCCCGGATAGAAGACCCCTCTTGGACAATAGCTGCATCCCCTTCTCCCCCATATGACCAAGCCTCATGTGCCAAATCTTAGTCATCTCCTGGTGAGATACAGATGCGCAAACCGCAGAACTAGGCAGTGTAACACCCTCAAAAACATAGAGGGTGTTCCTTTTGATACCCTTAAGTACCAACTCAGAACCTCTGAAAATACACAACTCCCCATCTGAAAACACACCATTGTACCCCAAGTCATCCAGGGTACCCAATGAAATCAGATTCTTTCCTAAAGCAGGAACATGCCGTACATTAGTCAAAGTTAACCTCCGCCCATCAACAGTCCTCAACCTCATGGAACCAATACCTGTGACCTTACATGGAGCATTGTTACTGACTATAACCATACCCCCATTGCGAGGTTCATATGTATCAAACCAATCTCGACGTGGACACATATGGAACGAACACCCCGAATCTAGAACCCAGTTATCAGATAAATCATCAGACCTAGCAGAACTGACTAATGCTAAATCTTCCTCTGAATTATAGCTCTCATTCGGTTTCTCTTCAACTACAGCAGCCTGGGACTTGTTTTTCCTCACCGGACAATTATTCCTAAAGTGACCCGGTTCTTTACAGTAATAACATGTTTTAGTAGTAGTTTTACTAGATCCATCCTTGCCGTTTCCAGCACCCGACCCAGCATTGTTCCCCTTGTTAAACCCCTTATTCTTTTTAGACTTTCCGGACTTAACAAATAACCCACTACCATTATCCCCATTATCACTCGTAGCTTTCATTCTGAGTTCCCTAGTATGAAGTGCTGCCTTCACTTCTTCTAAGGTTATAGAATCCTTACCAACAACAAAAGACTCTACAAAATTCTCAAAGCTAGACGGTAGAGATACAAGTAAAATCAACGCAGCATCCTCATCATCAATTTTAACATCTAAATTACGTAAATCAAGCAAAATAGAGTTAAGTTTTTCTAGATGTTCCCGTAAGGAAGTACCTGACTGCATCCGGAGGCTAAACAACCGCTGTTTCAGTAATAATTTGTTGGTCAACGACTTAGTCATATACAATGACTCCAGCTTCAGCCACAATCCAGCCGCCGTTTCCTGATCAGCAACCTCCGTGATGATTTGATCATCAAGACTAAGTAATATGGTAGAGTGTGCCTTCTCTTCCATAACTTCTAACTGCGAGTCAGTCGGTCCGTCTCCTGACTCCGAAGTAGTACTCTTTGGAGCCAACGGACGCCATATCTGCTGTTGTTTTAACAGAGCCTTCATCTTAATTTGCCATAGCCCGAAACTATTTTTCCCGGTAAACTTCTCAATTCTTATTGTTGAATCTCCTGCCATTGTTATCTTCAAGAAACTCTCCAAGGATTGAACCTGAGCTCTGATACCAATTGTTGTGCGACAGCGGAAGCAAAGGTCGTAAACAAACAAGAAAACAATAAAGAAATTCAATGCAAACAATAAGAACAACACCAAGAATTTACGTGGTTCACTATCGATGTGATAGCTACGTCCACGGGCACCGAGATCGAATGATTTCACTATAAACTGCAAAGATTACAAAGATGATTCTTGTATTTCTCAAGAACGGCTCTCACTCTCTCTCTCTTAACCCTTATACTAATATTAGGGAGGTTTTATATTAATCCCTAATTAAAAGATACTTGGGCAAAAAGATAATAAAATAAGATAACCTAAAACCGCAAAATCCGCGTTCCGTATTTTTCCTTCTCCGCCCGGTCAGACCGGGCAAGGTCTGCCCGATCGGGCGCGAGAAGAAAACTCCATACGAATGCTTCAACGTATCCAACCCCCACCGCCCGGTCAGACCGGGCAAGGTCTGCCCGATCGGGCGAAGGCTCGCCCGGTCGGGCGAAGGCTCGCCCGGTCGGGCGCGAGAGCAGCTTCTTCAACGAATTTGCCAGGCACCTCTTCTTCTTCCGCCCGGTCAGACCGGGCAATGTCCGCCCGATCGGGCGGACAAAGCTACGAAGTACGAGTCACCTAATATACTTATCAACACCCTTGATGCTATCAGGCTTGTCATTGTCTTAACCTGATAGCCCAACCTACATATCTGAGTGGAGCCATTACATGATTAACTAAGACATGATTAAAAATTTAGGATCCCCTGATAATTGAGTAACTTGTGTATGGAGTTAAGAGGACAGAATAATTGTATGTGATGTCACAACTCACAAGATATTTTACTATTGTCATTCATTGTTTTTACTAAGTTCTTAAATAATTGTGATTTCCCTACCTTCCCTCTGCCTTCTCTCTTTTAAAAATCAGAAGGAAAAGGAGCATTAAGCCTTTGGTTAATTAAAAAAGGCTTAACAATCAAAAATAGAAAAAGAGACTGATATAAGCATGTGGCCCGTGGCTGTATAAAAAATTGTATATTCTTGGTTTACTGTCCTTGGGATTTTAAGAACTTTGAAAGAGTAACAACAAAATGGGATTTGACAAAGTCTGCATAGATTCAAAGTGAAGCACTATACTTAAAAAGACTCCATTTCTACAATTTTCATCTCTTTGAAGTAATCTTATTACTCCCCTGATGTTTATCAGTATTGTGTAATTGTGTCACCTTCTTCTCTGTCAATCATGTGTTATCCACTGATTTCTTGTATTCATATATAAGAATATAGTTATATAACTATTCAATTGTAAGAGGACTAACTGAAATTTACCATCATAAAAATTTCATCTGCCAGTACTATATTCTTAAAGGTATTCGTTTGACAGGTTATCTTTAAAGGATATTCTTATGGAGGTTATTCAGAACTTTCAGAAAGTGATTTTCTTTCTTGCATTTTAAGCTCAAGTATTACTGGAGAGATTGGCCAGTTTGGTTATAAACCAACTGTTTTAGAGGATATGTTGGCTGGCAAGAGAGCTGGTGTCTACACAGAGCTTAGCGCATATACTAGAAGTTTCATAGGTGATTGTTCACCTTCAGATCTAGAAACTGCATTACAGGTTTGTTATTGTATTCCCCTTTATGATTTAAAAATTTTGGTGTCATTTACGAGTTTGTGGATGCACAATGATAGTAAGATTACTAAGATTACTATGATACTAGAGTGATTGACTTTCAACAATAATGACCAAATAAATCCCATTCTTCATCCTCAAGTGTGGCAATGGTGGATATTAGATGAATCATCACATGCGTCTTATTTATAGTACTGACTTTCCTAGCTTCTTGCTAAACTCAATCAAATCACAGTTATAGCATAGCTAATTTTACTTTTTCCTCTTATTTTTCCTCATGCTAGCTTGTCTATCAACTTTTTGTGACTTGTGTGGAGCCTGATGAAGACGATATTAAAAGAGTGATACATATAGTAGAAGAAATGATTCGAGCAGATGAAAGGGATCCTTACAGTGTCTTCACAAATAGGGTGACAAGAATTAAATATGGAAATTCTTACTTTTATAAGGTATGATTGTCTGCACATAGCCACAATATTATGCCTCATACCAGATTTTTAATAATGCAGTGTTCATATTCTTTTTGCAGTCACCGCTTGTTAATGATCTTCCAAAAGTTGATCCAAAGAAAGCTTGTGAATATTTTGACTGTAGCTTTAAAGACCCCTCGACATTTACTGTTGTGATTATAGGCAATCTTGATCCAGCTATGATTCATCCATTGATACTAGAGTATCTGGTAAAGCCTGTATTTTGTTTGCTGATAAAAGCAAACATGATCTTGACAAACTTGCAGCATTACATTGTTTGTATTTATTTACAAATGTAGGGTGGAATCCCAAAGCCTTCTGAACCTGTTTTTCATTTCAAGTTGGAAGACCTTAAAGGCTTACCTAGTAGTCCTCCTGTAAACGTAGTAAGGTAATAATGCACAGCAATAATTCAAATTTAACCAACATGAAGACAATCTGACTCTTTTTAGAATCTTTTAGCCTCACCCAAATCTTAATCCTCTAGATACTATTTTATACTGTAGAGAAATTGTTAGAAGTCCCATGGTGGAAGCGCAGTGTTCAGTCCATATATCTTTGAATATAAAGTTGTGCAGTGAGACCCTGGTATGTGAGACTTCTCCACTAAAATTCGGCATTATTCATAGCTAATAACTTTTTTTTTCCCCTTTTCAAATTCCACATTTTGGTGGTTATTTTATTTCTTTTCTTTTTTCATTTTTTGGGGTAAAGCTGGAAGAGATGTGGTTTGCTACATTTTTGAGCCAGCTTCTTCAGACCAAAATGACCCAGGCTCTCCGTTTCAAACATGGAGAGGTAAGTTACACTGAATTTTTTTTTAATTTTTTTTTTACCTTAGTGCATAAGTAAAATAGGTTATGTCAGAAAGTATTATGGCTCCTACATTTTAGATTAATCTAAACACAATTTCTTTTGAGGTGCAGATATATTCTGTAAGTGTTGATTCTAACTTTGGATATAGCAAGCCATCAAAAACTGCTGATTTGGAGGGTGAGATAACCATCGAATTTTCATGTGATCCAAATGTCTCCTCCGCACTGGTGAGTGTAGAGTGTACTTTCTTTTGTGTGATCCTAGAAAACATATGCTCACTTACAATGTGTTTATGACTATGTAAGTTCTTGGCATGCAGGTTGATATTGCTTTAGATGAGACACTGCGTCTGCAAGAGCATGGACCTTCAGAAGAAGATGTTTCCACTGTGCTTGAAATTGAACAGAGGGACCATGAAAATGAACTGCAGGTTTTTCCTTAATGACAAAACTTACACATCTTGCATATACTTCAGTTTTGATGTCCTTGCTTTTCTTATTTACTGCATTATTATTCTCTTATTTATCTTATGTGGCTACAAGTAATAAGCCTTATGATCCATCTTATCTTACCTACTCCCATGTCAATGTTCAATATGATGTTAATGACTCTTCAAAAGCTCTTGCCCAGGGCAGGGTAGGAGGTCCTTGATATGCCAGGCTTTACCCTATTGTAACATAGATATTTTTTCATATATCTGCTATCTGTATACCAATTTTTTCTTAATGCTTCACCACAATTGAGATTCACGGGCAATGTAGTTAGTCATTTGGAGTTAGTCCATTACAGTTCAATGACTGTACTGCCTATATGAGTACTCTTTTTATGTATATAATAGTTCTTCTCTTGTGAGAAACCTGTGCCCTTTTCTAAGTGGTTCATCTTTGCTTTCTTTCAGGAAAATATATTTTGGCTTTTTCAAATTTTGAAGAGCTACCGTTCGAGGTTGTATACTGATAATAATCTGGAATCTACATTTCAGGTCGATACCTATTTGAGCTGAAATCTTTACATATATTTACCTATTTTGTCTATGGTCCCCTCTTCTGCTAAAAGTGAAATCATGGCTTTTACCATTTGTTTATCTTCCATTGGCTTCTCTTTAAACTTAAAAGTTCAAAAGTATGATCAAGTTGTTCCCTATACACAGTATAAAATTTGGAGTGGAACTTGGAAGTCACTCTAGTCACTTTAGTTTTGGTTAAAATGTTAGGAGTAAAATCAAACTTGATTATCTGTGCTTACCGTGGTTGTAAGAACATCCAGCAAAACAAAAAAATGACCACAGGAGCTCAGTTTTCTGTTAATGTCTTACTGCTGTATGGTGCATCTTAATGATTTGTTATCCTATCTTTTTCTTTTTTAATTTATATGCAGTTACTAGACAAAGCGAGAAGCAGGGCTCGACAAACTCTCTCTCCATTAACTGCAAAATGGGCACTGCAGAAAATCTTGCCATACCCTTGTAAACAGCATTATGTCTCATTGACCTTAATACCAGAAACAAATCGTTTTCGTTTACTGAAACACCAACTTAAAACCCAACTTAAGCAAAAATATTATGGTAGATATATGAAGGTATGGTATTTACACTTTCCTTGAGTCTTTTGGCTGCATCTCTTTCTGGTTTTAATTTTTCTTCTGACTATGGTTCGTTTGATTTGTGCAGACTGTGGACAAAGTGTGGAAAGTTTTTGCCAGGAAACACATTTCTCACTAAAAGGTATAAGTCGAGTCGTATGCCTTCCCCAGTCCTTGCCTCGCACTTAAATGACTTTCGCTTCTAGGAAAAGAAATTCACTAGTTCATTCACAACATTCTTACCTATAATTTCTGTTCGTAGCAGGGCTATGCAGCAGCCAACATTACGTTAATATGCCAGTTACTTGAGTATTAGTTCATCCCATTTGTACAGTGGATTCGTCAGCTTTACCTAAGTATAGTTAGATCCTAGATTCTTTTGGGTGCTATGGCATCCACTATTTGACTGAACATGAACTACCATCTTCCTTGGGTTGTGACTAAGATTCACAACGTATATTATTTTCCTTTCGATGATTCTTTAACTGTAATTCTTGGGCGATTTCCGGTATGAATACACAACTGTTACAACATATATGTAATACATTATATTATGCAGCCTATGTTATGAAGACTCTTCAATTCACCTGATGTACATTCATCTCTATTGACACTTTGACAAGAGTATGGTCACTAACTGACAATGACACTTGAACGAATTGAGTTTGACACTTGAACGAATATACGTATCCAACACGGTTGGGGCAAGGTAAAAAACTAAAAAGCTTATAGATGAGATGGATCTATTGTACTGTACAGAGAATGGAGATGCAAAAACTGGTTCTCTGACTTAGGGTAAGGCTGGGCAAGGTGAAAAAGGTCTACAGATTAACTTGGTATTTACAGAATAATGTTTCATACTTGGATAGTGATCTAGCTCCTTGCTCTAATGTTAGGTAGCTCAAGAAAGAATCTTAAAGTACTGTTTCATCTTCAACAGTTATTGAGAATTTGGGATGAGCAAAAGGCCTAATGTTAGGTAGCTCAAGACATGAGCATAAGACAATTCTTTGAAAATTGCTGCAACTCCTTTAGAAACATGCATAACTCATCTACAAAATTTGGGATGATGGTGCTTGAAAAGGAGACTTGATACACAACCAAATTGCATATTAATACTACCTCCGTTACATATTATTTGCAATGATTTAGATATTTTTCTTTTTTACTTTATTTCAAATTATTGCAAATAATATGTTTTATGATATTACGAACTTCTCTTCTGGCACTACTACTAGCTCATCACCTTACCTGAATAGCAGAACTAAACCAGAAAGCCCCAAACAAAAAGTTAATTGCCCCAATAATACAGCCCTTCAAGAATTAAACCAGAAAACTCCAAACAAAAAAGTTCAAACTCGCTAGTCGCTATTACTTTATTCTATTTTTAGCAAACCCTTTTTACTACCTTACCCTGTTACCCTCACACTATTTAAAATACACAATCTATGTTACTCGGACTCTTCATTTTACCTAAAGAACCAGTGCTGGATCCTTAATACTTGGTCATTTAATTTTAGATCAAAATTATAGAAATTATTCACAAAATAGCCGAGTTGGACACTTAAATACATACCCGTGTCGAATCCGACTCCAATTAACATAGTCAATGAATCAATCATAAACGTTATAAACTCGACACTATCACTATTCCCCTTACTACAACTAGTGAAATACAGCAACCTGCAAGCTCTCATACTGAAGCAAACTTGTTGACAATCAGGAATGAAGAGACCCAAAAACCTGTTATCAAATCTCTTTCTTTTTTCCAACACTTTGCAAGAGCTTCTATTTCATTCCATCCCCAATACCTACTATGTCAAATCCCACTCTTTTCATCAAATTGCTGCTACTCCCCCAAAACCCATCTCTAAAAACCCTAATTTTAACACCCCATCTTCCCCAAAACCTCTGGATTTCATCACTGTTTGTGAAACCCTATCATCTTACAACAATGACTTTAATCGGGCACTTGAATTTTTCAACTGGGTCGAAACCAATTGTGGGTTCCAGCATAATACAGAAACTTACAATTCTATGATTGATATTCTGGGTAAGTTTTTTGAGTTTGATAAATGTTGGGAATTTATTGAAATCATGCGAAAACATCCATTTTCTATGCCTAATTATACCACTTTTCGTATAATGTTTAAGCGTTATATATCTGCTCATTATGTTAACGAAGCAATTGATATGTTTGATAGATTAGGGGAGTTTAATTTGAAGGATGAGACATCGTTTTGTAATTTGATTGATGCACTTTGTGAGTATAAACATGTGATTGAAGCGGAAGATTTGTGGGTTAAGAGGCAATCGTTTGTTAAATTTGTGAGTGAGACGAAAGTTTGTAACATGATGCTTCGAGGGTATGCAAAGATGGGGTGGTGGGGTAAGTGTAGGGAGTTTTGGGAGGAGATGGATAAGAAAGGGGTTCGGAAAGATTTAGTGACGTATTCGATTTATATGGATGTGCAATGTAAGTGTGGGAAGCCGTGGAAAGCTCTGAAAATGTATAAGGATATGAGGAGGATGAGAATGCAATTGGATGTCGTGGCATATAATACGGTTATTCATGCTATTGGTCTTAAAGAGGGAGTTGATTTTTCGATTCGTATGCTTAGAGAAATGAAGGAGTTAGGATGTCAGCCAAATGTGGTCACATATAATACTGTTCTTAAGCTTTTGTGTGAGAATGGGAGGATGAAAGAGGCATATGGTATGCTTTATCAGATGCGCAAAATGGGTTGTGAACCCGATGTAATTTCCTACCACTGTTTTTTTCGCTGTCTTGTTAGGCCAAAGGAGATGCTAAGGTTATTTGAGAAGATGTTAGAAAGTGGGGTTACTCCGAGGATGGATACTTATGTGATGCTAATGAGAAAATTTGGGAGGTGGGGGTTTCTTCGCCCTGTTTATATTGTTTGGGATAAAATGAAAGAACTTGGTTGTAGTCCCAATGAGGCTGCTTACAATGCATTGATTGATGCTTTGCTGCAAAAGGGTATGGTGGATAATGCAAGGCAGTATGATGAAGAGATGCTGGCCAAAGGGCTTTCTGCTAAGCCTAGGGTCGAGTTAGGAACTAATGCAGCAAATGATAAGTCCGGTGATGTTGAGCTATGATGCCTTGACTTACTAAAAGATTCTGTTTGAAGAATATGGGTCTTCCACACTGTGACTTGTTGATGTGTTTATCAGTCTGGGTGATAATGGCTGGTTTATGTAATAATGACATGAGTGCTTGATGGCTGACAAAGGACTCCTTAACTTGTGTTTGTTGAGAGGCTTGCATCTGTGGTTCTTCCTAGTTTGATTTTATTTTATATTTCTTGGAGAAGGTATCCAAGCAGTCTACAAAGTAACATATTAATGGGAAACTGAACAATGAAGCAATTGAAACAAATTTTTCTGAAGAAGCCTATTATTGGCTGATCGCTAAAGTGGAAGGGATTGTGGAAGCACTAAAGGGAAGTAATATTATTGCTTCTGAATGCGATGTGACTGATTTCACTATTCCCTGCAGGTGCGTATCTTTCTACTTCTGTAATTCTGTTTACTGTCATGGATTTTTAATTTTGTCAACTTGACTAACACGTATGTTATTTGACTTGTTAGTGCGACCATTGCATCTATAGCAGCTTCGGGGAAATTCCTGGAATATGAAGTGAGTGGTCTAATATTTTGTGCTTTAACAGCATAAAGTTACGAAGTGGAGGTATGTTGTAGCGTGTTTTGTACCCCCTATTATTTTTGCTTTTACATATAGCAGCCAATATGTATATACAAGTATTTATTTTGAAAATTTAATAAAAGCTATGTTCATGATATTATTCGAAGTTGTTGATACTTCTAACTGTCAAGAAACACTGATTTTATGTAACCATGAATATTACACTAATTAGTCATTAGAATTATGCTAAGGGGTTATTTGGTTCAATCGAGGAAAATGAATAAAAATACCTCCTTCGGTTAGCATCAAGAAGAACTCTGCCACCTTATATGGGGCACCATCATTGGAACCCCAACAGACCCCATCCCCCCACAGCATGCCATGGTTTGAAAATCCATACTGTGGTGATGTGGCCATTCTGTACAGGGTTCTAAATCACTGAAACGATATTTGCCATACTAAAACAATGTTTTTCTAAGAAGTCATGATTTACTCAGATTTGACCTTTTCGAACTGAAATTTGCCCTTATCAAATGACAATGACTGAGATTTGGTGCCCTCAAGTCTCAAGTGAAGAAGGTTTACGGTTTATACATGAAAAAACTTGTGTCATGTTTAAGTCATTTTTATGACCATTTGTATGGTATGAATCAATAATTTTTTTGGGGTAGTGCCGTAGTGGATGTGAGATAACTGTTTGGCAGTTATACTAGGGGTGAGCAAAAATCCAGGGTTAGGAATTGAATAAAAAATATTTAGGAACCTATTCAATTCTGGTTTTGTTTCTCAATTTTTTGGAACCTAAATTGGCAGGATATCCAATCAACACCAATTTCAGTATCAGGTGATATCATCATTTTGAAATCTTGACACCACTGTTTTGCTTTGGAAAGGAAAATTCATGTAATAGTATTTTGTAATGGGAAATAGGAACTCATTTTTATTCTCTTTTTACTTCTAAATTTATTATGTGTTTTAAAGAATAATTTTACTATAGCTATAACAAATTTGTACCATTGTAATCTTTTAATTATAGTGTTTAAGTATTTTGTCTAAATCATTAGCATTCATACATTTGAGTAAATGAATTAATAATCGACCATATAATTTACATAATATAGGAAACTAATTTTGGAGATTTACAACAAGTGGGTAATAAGTCTAATAAAATGGCATGGGTTGAGAATGGAGTAAATTTATGAAGAATTGGAATCTAGTGGGTTAGTCAAATCACTCAAATGTATTAATAGACAAATAGTTATGCCTTAGATAAACAGAATAAATGTAAGTTATGTAACCACCCTGGTAACAGTATACAATGGATACAAATTTGTTGTAGTGATGTAGTCATTGTAAAGTTATCTTAAATTAGTTAGAAGTTGGAATATAAAATGAGCTCTCATTATAAAACACCAATAATAATTTTCTTCCAAAGCAAAAGTTGGGTCAAGAAGTCAAAATATATAGAGTGAGTCACATCTAGCTAACATTTGTTCCATTTCCACTACCCAAAATAATTATTACTCTCAGGAAATGTAAGGAGAAAATGGGTTACCAATTAGCTCCTTTTATGCAATAGGCTTTAATATTAAGTAAGCAAAGCCTATACTTATGGTGACATCGTGGTTGGGTTTAATATTAGGAGGATGTGGTGGTTGTGCTGAGCAAGAAATGGTGGCTGGTTGGGTGTGTGGGTAGAAGCGGAATTTACTGAACATGGAAGAGTAAATAGGAGGTGTTGAGCTGGTAGCTGGCTGGGAGGATGAAGGAGAAAGTGATGTTAAAAAATATGTAAAACAAATTAAATAACTGTAGAACTGGTTACAAATCGTAACTTCATACTAGACCATTCCGAAAAGACATCCCTAATAATTGGTACGTATTATTTTTGAGATAATCTATGGATTGGATTATTGTGAGCAGAC